CATGGTCAAACTTTATAAATATGAACAGATATTCTCATTAATATAATTAAAATTTGAGTCATGTGAGATATATAATTTGTTACATTCGTTTCTATGTGTAGTTTTACAATATCAAATTTCTAATTTTTGTTAATATGTAATTAAAATTATTTATATATAGTCAAATATAAGTTTTATATATTGTGCAAAATCAAAACAGAAACCATAAAAGAAAACAATGGGAGTACAAAAGGTTTTATTTCATAATTATTTGTACCATTACGTAAGTCAAAGTTGGGGCTAACTATAGACATTTACTTTTAGTCAAATGGAAGTGTGACGATGATATCAAAAACCCGCTTTTAAGGCTCACTAATAGAAAATCGTAAAGTAAATTAACACCGAGGAATTGGCAACAGATTTTAAAAACTGGTGCGAAAAAAAATAGGCAGGTTTTAATAAAATAGCAATAACACCGGTTCAAACCAAACCGATGCGAATTTGTGGTAATGGAACTGGTTCAAACCGGTGCGAATTTAAAAAAAAAAAGAAAAAAAAAGAAAAATACCGTTGGAATTCATTTTCCAATTTCCCACTTTCTCTTTCTCGTTTCCTCCTCTTCATTCTCCCTTCTCACAGCACCGGAACCCCCCTCCACCTAAGCTGCCACCAGCACCGAAACCCCCTCCACCAGAGCCGCCACACACCTATCCCGGAAGTCCCTCCACCACCGCACCGAAACGCAACCAATTACCTCTTCATTCTCCTCTTAGCAGAAACCTAGGAGCAGCCCCGAGGTTCACCACAGCCACCGCTCCCCGTCGCTCCACCGGCCGCCGTCTTCTGCCCACAATCTCTCCTCCGCTTCCACCTCCAATTATGGTAGATATTCTCACCTCTTCCATCTACGGTTATTAGTAGGTAATTTTTTTGCCATTTGGAACAATTATTTTTAATTCTCTACTTATATTTTCTTTTGCATTTTGAACATTTATTGGGCATATGAACAAACTAACAGTTAGGGTTTCTTTATAATTTAACCCCAAATTTGTGAATTTTAAGTGATTTTAATGGCTAATTTTGAATAAATTAAAGATTAGTATATAAAATATAATGTGGTATGTAAAATAAAACTTGTTTGTTAGTTGAATATTAATGTGGAACATTTATAAACCTTATTAGTTAGTTGAATTTTGGTATGTAAAATATAATGTGGTTGAATTTAGCTCAAAAAAATTATATTAATTCCTGAATTTCTGATTTTGTATGAATTAGTGGTTATCAATTGTGTTATATATTAGTGATTAGCAATTGTGTAAAAATTAGCAAATAAATTAGTGAAATTACATGAATTACTCTAAATTTTAAATAAATTAGTGATTAGCAATTGTTAGTTTGATGAATGATGTGTTATACTTTAGCAATGTATGTAGGTACTGATTAATTACTAAGTTTTGTTTATTTTTTCTATTTTTATAGATTCATTTTGAAGCACAAGTTTAGTTTGAAGACTACATATTTAGCTCAAGTGGGAAGTTAGAAAGTGTACATTTATTGTACTTGATATATTGGTATGAATTACAGACTTTACTAAGCTATATTTCTTTCTCTCTATCCAGGCCATTTAATAAAAGTTTTGTCATGCTATTACAACTTGTGTATTGTTTAGTGACAAATAAATGCAATTATATATATAGAATTGTAATACTCCGTATTTTTATGTATTTTATAAATTATTTAATTAATTATAAAATATATTTTAAGTACTCAAGTATTTTAATTTAAATATTTAAAGGGATAAAGTATTTAAATTATTGAGTTTTATAAAAGTATAATATATTTTGGGCTAAACATTATTAATTGTTTGGGCTCGTTTAAATAATAGTATGTAAACAGTCCTTACATACTCCTAGTGGACCAACCCATTTCATTTAAGTAAGCCCAATTCTTTTATTTGAACCTTTGTGGGTCAAATATTTCATGGCTAAAGTCCATTTATTTATTAAGCCCAAACACAATCTCTACTCTTACTCTATAAATATCCCCCAAAACCCCAAAATTTTCCACACAAGAGATCAAAAATCAGATTTTTGGGGGTAAGTAATCTTTTCTTTCTTTTCCCTTATTTTTCTTTTCTTTTTCTTTCTTTTTTCTTTTCTTTTCGCCTTTTCTTATTTTTTTTTCCTTTCCTTGCATTTATGGGGTTTCATGCGTGAAATCACTTCACGCATGGTAAGGCACCCATGCAAGCATCACGCATGTGCTGCCCACATCACCTCACGCCACCCCGCACAACCAGCCACCGCCGGCGACCCGTCAGCCAACACCCACGGTGGTTCTCTTTCTCCCTCCTCTTGTTTTAGTTATTATTCCTATAATTTATACTTTCGGTTTTTTATTTTAATTATTTAAACATGATTAGTATGTTTTATAATTGTATTTTAATGATTAAAGAGTATAAATTTCATATTACAAAGTATTCTAAATCTCAGATTTTATAAAGTATTAAAAGTTAGGGTTTTAATTATTAAAGTGTTGATTTTTAGGTTTCCAACTTACAATTGATTTGGGGGTTTTATATACCTATTGATTGTAAGTGATAATAAAGCTTAAAGATTATATTTTTATGAAGTTTTAATGAGTTTTTAATAAATTAATATTGCCGGAATTTTATTTTAAGCACTACTTTTGTGTTTTAATAAAAAGAGGTTGATTACCCATAAGTAGAGAAGGTTTTAATTGGTTTTAATGGAATTTTCATATTTATTTGAAGGGTTTAAACCTTAAAAAGTGTGCTGGAATTTTTATAAAAACACCATGGATGAGTTTTTACTGTGTAGTTTAATTACCCACTTAAAGAAAGAGTTTTAAAGGTTTTAAACCAAAATTTTAGCTTATTAGAGAGGGTTTAAAATGTTTAAAAGTTGCTGGAAATTTGTGTAATCAAGAGAGTAATTGAGTTTATGTATTTGGTATTGTAGGAGACTTTAAGTTGAGTAATTTCTAGCATTGTGGCTAGTTGGAAAGATGATTTAAGGTACGTTCGCGTACTTAGTGATTATTTGAATATGTAGAAGCATGCTAGGCTTTGTTTAATTAATTCCAAATAGTATCATGATAGGTATTGGTTGGAATTTGTTGGTTGGATTGATTTAGTGATTGATTTCTGAAATATCAATTATCTGAAGTGAATTGTTGATTGGAATTAATTATGTTGGCATGCTAATATGAACCATACTTCTATTATTGGCATGATAGAGAGCATGTTTGATTAAACTAAGTGTTAATTTAGTTTGGAATATTGAAAAGGAATTTTATTATGGTTCATATAATTTTTATCGATGCTATAAGCATGAGGAAAGAGCTATTTAAGTGTCTATGTAATTTTGGTGCCTAAGTGCACTTAAGGTGTTCTAAACACCGAGGGATAGGATTTGCAGCGCATTATGCGTTTAAGGCGTCTTTGACACCGAGGTAGATTAAAATGTGTTCAACATTAAAGTTATGTGGTCACTAATTATTCAAGAATTAAATTGGTATGTTTGATTGCTTGAATGAATTATGATGTTTGATTGTGTTATAGTTTGAGAGTCATCACCGAGTCGAATAATATGTAAATAAGTAAAGTGAAAGAGATTACGCACCAAAACTCTTGGAACATATATACCTTGAGTATGAACATATGGGGGGAGTTATGCGACTTTATATTTGACCATAACTTCTACTGGGAGTACAGGACACTGTATTTCCTTTTTATTATGCGCAGGAATTCCGCCACTTACAAGTGATTTATTCAATACTTTCACGGTTCGATGCGTAATCAAGCTAAATAATTGGACTAGTTATTGGTCTAGTTGAGTGTTGAATGTTTATATGCCTGTAAACAGGTGCAACAAGTAATTTGTGTGTTGATAGGATGAAAACATGTTAGTGTGTTATTACGCTTATGTACTCAGCATTTCTGGTTGTGTGTTTGTATGTTTGTTTAGCCTTGTCTTTATCTTGGCCCTACAACACTAGGCGAAAACACGTAATTCGCACTGATTCAAAACCCCTATTTAGCACCGGTTTTGAACCTGTCCTGATTTGGGGGGTGCTAAAACCCCAGACATTTTGCACCGGTTCAAAACCGGTGCGAAATCAGGTTTTTCGCATCGGTTCTGGGTGAGAACCGGTGCAAAAAACCACACTTTTAGCACCGGTTCTTGCTTTGAACCGGTAAGTGGCCAAAAAAAATTTAAAAAAATCTTTTAGCACCGGTTCTGTTCCAAAACCGGTGCCAAAAATGCTCCAAAAGAAATTAAAAAAAGCATTTTTTCACTTAAATTGATATATAAACACTAACATATATATAAAGTTAAATATTTTCATCAAAAAAGGCTGTAATATTACAATTTTCGTCCAAAAAAAATTAAATTATTGTGGGTGGGTGACTGGTTTAAGTTCTTGAGCTGCTATGTTTTTGTTCTGCTCTGGTCAGGATGTGCAGGGTGTTTGCTGCTATGCTGTAGTGCTGAGTTGCTTGCTGGTTTGGCTGCTCTGGGTCAAGCTGCTATGTTTGTTGGGTTCTGCTGCTGCTGCTGCTGTTTCGGGGTTTTCTGACGTCCTGCGGGAGAGTTACAATTCCGAGACTGGTATCCTTGCGCCTGTACCTGCAAAACAACGGAGACTCCTTGTGGTGGGAGCTCCGCCTCCAACGATCAAGTTAGTACTTGTTTGAGGAGTAATAAATGCGGAAAGTAAAGGTGGGAGATCTGGTTCCTCTAGGGGAGGAGTGATCAATGTGTTTAGACTTCTCTAGGTGAGAGTCATCAATTGTTGAATCCCCTTTAATGAGGATTAATTAAGTATTTATAGTCTTGAGAAGCGTGCCAATCCTAGGTTTAGGTTAACCAGGGAAAATTGGGCTTCTCTCGGACTTTGGGCCTTGGTGGCCATTTTTGCCTATTTGGCATATGGGAGGCCACGTGGCGTGGCCTGATTAGTCCATGTTGGACCTCTTAGGGTGACAAGTGGCGGACGCTGATTGGCCCACGTGGTGGACACGTGGCAGGTCCGGATTGGTCCATTTTGTCATGGGTAATTTTACCCTAAACAGCTGCTGCGTGGTCATCTGTGTTGCGGTACTGGTGAGTTGCTGTGGTGCTATGCTGGTGAACATGTAGGACAATCTCAAGTAGGATATAAATATTAGATTTTCAAAGAGATTACTATCGCAAACAGTCAAGGTAGGTCTATATATTTATTGTGCATATTAGATTTTAGAGACAAAACTATCACAAACAGTCAAGCTAGGGTCTATATATTGACTGTGTTCCAATTTTACAATCGGCTGCACGCCCATATCACCATTGGAAGGGAATTTGAGAAACCTCACAGCATGGTAAGTGTTTATGAGATAACCAACTGACATATCAAGCTGCAATAGCAGTCAATCATCCACATTGACTGCAAAAGTGGTTCCGCGATTGTTCCCCCATCCAAGATTATAGAGCATGGAGAGGGGTAGGAGCTTCGAGTTGAAAGAATGGACATTATTAAGAAGGTAGGTCCTTAATTTTATGGACAGTCTTTAAATCCTTTTCCAGTGATCACCTAAAGAGTAATAACCTAAAGTTATCAAGAGAATAATAGCCTAAAGCAACCTATCACTTTTGTATCCAAAATTCTGCCATTATCAATCAAAGACTCAAACTTTAATCTTTAAATTTTTGTTTCAATAGAACTTATAATCTGAAAATCCTAGTCTATTACATATTCATACATCTAAGAAGTACCCATCATCCCTTTTCAAGTAAATTATCCAGAAAACAGCATAAATAAGAATCTCCCAAAGACGGTTCTTAACATTACTCACATTCAGAGCCCTAAATCATTCTACAAAAACAATCACGCAAAAAATTAAAGAAGACTAGTGGGATAGTGCATCAAAGATAACCCAGATTTCCTCGATGAAAAAAATGAAAAGAAAGGACCTTAGAACATAAGAAGTATAAGGAACAGGTTCATAAGGGAAAAGAGTCGGTCAACTTGCATCTTCGAATTAACTTTCATCAACATAAACTATCAACAAGTTATAGTTCCATTTACCTGAGAAATGTCTTTGGGAGTCTCTATTCTCAAAACAATTGATTTTTCAAAGGGATTTGCAAAAATTTCAAACCTGAGATCTTTCTGGCTAAACATGGTTAGCAGTGGTCCTGTATTCAAGAGAAGTATCAGTAAGACTAGTTAAGAAGTTAAATTTTTTTTACATAATTCAATGATGAATTTTAGCAGGTATATACGAGTATACCCTTACCGAGCCTACCTCCAACTGAACCAGACAGAACCTTTGGATCAATCAAAGCCACAATGTCTTTCTCACTGAACTTATGTTTCTCTAACTTCTTCCTCTCTTTTGCCAACTGTTTCTGTTTTGCGGTTTCATCCTTCAATTCTGCTTTACGCGACCTCTCTTGCTGCGTTATGAAAAAACTCAGTAAGCTCTAGTCTTAACATGATCTGTTACATGAAATCTATATAACATAAGACTGACCTCCTTCATGAGCCTTTTTTCCTCAGATAATTTCTTACTATTTTCAGCCTGATTAACTTTGTTCTGTTTCTTCTCTGTATTAGCATCACCTCCACTTTCCGGCTTATGAATTGCACCTCCTTTTTCCAGTCTTACAATTTTTTTTTCACAATCATGATTCTGAAAATACACCAGACTTACATTACCACATGATACACGTAAACATATAGTTTTCGGTAGAGCATCAAAATGGGGATATAAAAATATTATTAAGTCACAATTTATCAGTCACCTAAAGCTAGAGGTATGCATCCAACTTCCAAAATTTTTAAATGTACAACTCAAATCTGAGCTAGAGGTGTGCAATTGTATTGATCAAATTATCTTTCACACTCCACTGCAGTAAAACAATTTGCCATTAAAAAGGCTCAAGGGATTCAACAGCTAATTATGAGGTATAGCAAAGAGCCAAAGAGCGAAATATTACCAAGGAAGGATCATTAGTCTCATTTAAATGAGAGAAACGCTCAGACAGATGTTCCATAATATACCACCCAGAAACAGATGACAGTGAATTGATATACAGAAGGGATGCCATCAATCACCACTTAGTGTACCGAAATCAGGCATCTTAGAAAAGGATGTGAGGCAATATAGAAGCGTTGAGTGAACGTCATGCAAACCAGCTTTATTGAGCATCTCAGCAAAGTGTTGTAGAGGGTAGTAATCCGAAACATCTGAGACTGTAGTTGCAGTGTATATGGTCAGGGATAGGAAAAGAAAGAAGCCAATCAAATGCCTGTAATGCAAGTTAGTAGTTGGTAAGATAGATGCACGGCAAATAGCCTCACCCCAACCCCCCCCCCCCCCCCAAAAAAAAAAAACAAATATGGCGAATAAAACACCCAAATCTGTAAGAGATGAATCTTTAAGATATGAATATAAGTAAAAGAAAAGGCAACAGAACACACATTCAGAATTCAGTGTTTGCAGCAATTGTTATTCAGTTAGAATCACCAAACCATTTCAGTTAAGCACGACAATTAAGAAGGTATGAATATTGAATTACACATCATGTTAGAGAGAAAACAACTTAAGAAACCCATTTTGTTCCCCTTAATTATGAAGTAACAGGCAAGGAACGAACTAAACCTATGGTTGAAATGAGTGATTCCAACAATGAAAATGATTTTGGAAATCTTCAGATTTACAGAAAATAGCAAATAGAAACAAATAAATGAAACTAAGAGCTGGTGAATAGAACAAATATATCATATTCCAAGGAGTATAGTCCTTGTGAGATTTTCCCCTATGTTTTGATGGTATTAATGTCCTTACCTAATAATATTGCACTAATCTTTGCCCTTCAAAAAAAAAATTCTAAGGAGCATCATGTCCTTACCTACTAATATTGCACTAAACACACCCTTAAAAACTTTCCAGCTCCAACACGAACACTTAAATGCATAATTCTGAACCCTTTTATCACCCCTCAATTGGACTAGACTGTGACTGGAAGAAGAGGGAACTTAAACTTGTTCTAGGGCTTTCTATAGCTTTAATATTTATATTCTTTAAAAGCACTTGGAAACTCATAACAGGAAAGTAAAAGATAATGAACAACAGAGAGATAGTATATTAATTCAACGGAACACACCCAATAATTTTTTTCACCAGTAACACAAACACTTACCTGCATCAACTGTGAACCTTTGTCACCCTCAAATTTCTCGAGGTAAATAGCTGCACAAACCATCAATAATCACAACTTATTCTCACGGCTTAAACCCTGTCAAAGGGGCTTCAACATTGTCAAAAAAGTATTACAAACTTCATATTAGATAAAAAGATGCATGATTCAGACTACAAAGTCCCTACAGTATGCATGCTTAAAAATTTGATAACTTCTTCAGTCTAGCATCACCAAAGACAAGATCCTGTTCCAGTTTACCAACCTCCCTAAGTTTTTGCTCTCTTATGATACGGGTATGAATTCTGGGGTTTGAACCAAGACCCATTTGTTTGCAATTGCAGCTTAAAATTCGATGGCACAGTCCCACATTCCGCCATTTTTCTGGAGTTTCAATCTCACCCAAATGCTCAATACATTTTATTCTCCCAATCAAATATGAAAATAAGAATTCATTTATGCTTGAATCTACTGAAAATTAATTATAAACAAACAAAAATTAATATCTAAACAGATAACATATTCATTAATTTTCAAAGAAATGGGATAAAATTCTAAATAAAAAAAGGCATAATTGAAGTGGGATTTAGGGAATTAGGGGTGAGAAAATGGTAAATTAGATGATACCTGGAAGTTAATTTTCATGAATTCATAGTGTTCGAAGGAGAGAGGAAGGAAGGAATGGGCAGAGTTTATGACTGGTTTTGCAAAGCTGAATAATGGTGGAGGTGGTTGTGGTGGAGGTGGAGCCGTGCGCGCTTCAATGACAAACCCTAGATTACCACAACCTTAAAATTACTAAATTGAAAAGCAAATCAACGAAAAACCCTAGATTGCGAAGGAATTCGATAAATTAAGAAGACCACAAAAAAAATCTTACCTCGAAGCTGCTTCAATGGAGGTGAGAAAGCTCAGAATCTGCTTCAATGGAGAATAAAGAGCACGAGTTCAATGGAGGAGAGATATGGAGAGAGAATGAGGTGCGGCTGCTTGAATGGAGTGAGAAAGCTCCTAAACGGCTTCAATGGAGAAGGTTGGAATTCGGAGGTTGTGGAAGAGAAGGCGAGAACGAAGGGAAAAAGAAGATGGAAAAGCAGGGGGAAAGAAAGGAAGAAGAAGAAATACGCGAGCCCGACTTTTTTTTTTTAATTTCGCACCGGTTTGGTCTGAACCGGTGCGAAATCCCTTTCACCTTTTTTTTTCTCTTTTTAAATTCGCACTGGTTTATTAGGAACCGGTGCGAAAAGTCTTTTTCCCAATCCCGCCCATTTCTTTTCCCACCGGTTTTCAAGAAGCGAAAAGTGCGGTGCCTATTTCATTTTTTCTACTAGTGCAATGACTCATTTCTAATGGCGAATAGTGGGGACAGGTAGGGAGAACCTTTCAGGTGATGAAGCATATCAAGCATGATGGGGTTGAGCGAAGAGGGTTACATGTTTCTTTGTTTATTATTTATTATATTAAATTATTTATGTAATTGTTGACACTAACATTAGTTAATGTTTATATTTACTTTGGTTTTAAAGGGATTTTAATGGTGCCAAGTTATTGTTTTAGTGTAAGTTGGTTTAAAAGTTTGAGTTGATTTTATTAGACTTTATTTCATTTGAGTTTTTAAAAGATAGTCTTCTACTGTGTATCTTTGATATTTGCCTTAGCCGTTTTCACGGTGGCGATAATGTCTTAGATTTTCTTATTTCGTATTTTAAAAAGGGCAAAAAATGTATTTTTAAGGAAAGGAATTTCTAGGGTATTACAAGAATGCTTGCATCATCATATGCCTAGATACTCGTTCAAGGCTTTCTCATTAGGAGAAAGTCTTAAATAGTCCCCGGTTGGGACTGTTCTTGAACGTTTACTCTCACTTAGGTTGTGAATGTATGTCTTTTTTTCGATTTTAAGGTACATCTTGGCTTACCATTTCCTCACCATGTTCTCTGGGTACATATGTGGGTAAGTAATTATCTACATCGTGTACTTGGAGAACTGGGGGAAAATGCTGCCGAATTTTCCTTAAAATTAGAAAGTCGACATACATTCACTAGTGAGATTAGACATTCAAGGATGGGTTAGGTTGGAGTGATAAGGACCCTTTGGAAGCATGCATTTTTTCACTATATGAATGGTATATGCATGGTGTGTGTTTGAATTTGATTTACATAATATATGTAGCAAATATACATTATTCATAATATGTTGCTATGTTTAGAGACAATTTACTAAATGGAGAAGGATCGTGGTTGGATGTATGGTAGACGTGATACATTGGAATTCTTTCATGGGGTTCAAGAGTTTTGCGAGAGGGCTTCATCTTATCAGCGCAGAATGGGTGTCGATTGCCTCTATTGTCCTTGTGTTGATTGTAATAATGTGAAGGTGGTCAATAGTGTTGAAATCATTAGAGAACATTTAATTTGTCATGGGTTTAGGCTTAAATACCATTTGTGGATTTGGCACGGTGAAGAAGGAGAGTACAATGGGGATGTTGATGGGAATGATGTGCATGATAGAAGCAATGAGATTCGTGTGGACGAGGAATATGGGAATGATGAATATATTATTGATATTGGTGATGAGGATGGGTTTGAGGATGATCAGGTGGATGAGGTCGAGGATGAAAAGGTGGATGAGATGATGCACGGTGTTGAAGGTGACGTGTTTGAGTCATTATCAGAGGCTTTTAAAAAGCCTTTGTATCTTGGGTGGAAAAAATACTCCAAACTATCAGCCATGCTAACACTTTTTAACATTAAGTCGAAGCATGGGGGGACGAACACTAGTTTTACTTCTTTGTTGACCGCGTTAAGTGAGATGTGCCTGACGGGAATGAAATTCCTAAGTCTTACTATTATTCAAAAAAGCTCATGTGTCCATTTGGTTTGGAGTATAAGAAGATACATGCATGTCCTAATGATTGTATTCTTTATCGAAATGAATATGAACAATTGGAGGAGTGTCCACGATGCAACAAGTCGCGCTACAAGCGCATGAGTGTCAATGTTGGTACGAAGGGGCCTCCTGCTAAGGTGTTGTGGTATCTTCCCATAATTCCAAGGGTTTAAGCGTCTATTCTCAACACCAAAAGACGCTAAAAACTTGAGGTGGCATGCATAGGGAAGAAAGAAAAACAGAATGCTGAAGCATCCAGCCAACTCCCCGCAATGGAAGAACATTGCTATGAAGTTTGGGAAATTTGGTGATGAAGTCAGAAATTTAAGGCTTGGGTTGTGCACGAATGGGATGAATCCATTTGGCACTTTTAGTACCCAACAAAGCACATGGCCGGTACTTTTAGTGATCTACAATTTGCCTCCTTGGTTGTGCAAGAAACGTAAGTATGTAATGCTTTCACTGCTAATAATGGGGTCAAGGCAACCTGGAAACGACATAGATGTTCATCTTGCGCCACTTATTGACGATTTGAGAAAGATATGGGACGAAAGGGTTTCCGTTTTTTATGCTCATAAGAATGAGATGTTCACATTGTGTGTAGCTCTTATGTGGACCATTAATGATTTTCCTGCATATGGCAAATTGTCTGGGTACAAGAACAAAGGAAAAAAAGCATGCCCTATTCGTATTGATGACACACAAAGCATACACCTTGATCATTCTCACAAAGACGTGTACGTGTAGACCCGAAGGTTGCTTAGGCGCGATCACCCGTACCGTAGGCAGAAAAAGGCTTTCGATGGGACAGTGGAAGGGGGGACTGCGCCTAGGCCATTGGCTAGTGAGGAGGTTTATGCTCGAGTTAAGGGTATATGAACAGTAATTGGGAAAACAGAAAAAGTTGCGGACTCAACTGCTCTCTTTAAAAAAGAATCAATCTTTTGGAAACTTCCGTACTAGAAACAACATGACGTTAGGCACTGTCTTGATGTGATGCATATAGAGAAGAATGTGTGTGATGCTCTTGTGGGAACGCTGATGAATATCTTAGGCAAAACAAAGGATGGAAAGAGTGCACGGTTAGATTTGGAAAAGATGGGGGTTCGTCCAGAATTGTGGGCTCGGGAAAAGGTTAGAAAGTGAAAGGAACAGGAAAAGGAAAATGAAATTGTTTCGAACAAAGGAAAGGGGAAGAGCAAGGGAAAGGGAAAGGCCACGGATGCGTTGAAGAAGAAATATGAGGGTAAAGGCAAGGATGAAAAGGCTTATTTACCTCCGTCTCGCTACACATTGTCAACAGTAGAAAAACGGATGTTTTGTGCATGTCTGTACGACATTAAGGTTCTATCAGGGCACGGATCTAAAATGAAAAGATTTGTATCCTTAAATGGAGAATTAAAGCTGACAAGTATGAAATCCCATGATTGTCACATTATGATGCAAGTATTCCTACCAATTGCAATACGTGGTATTTTATTGAAGCACGTGAGGGAAGCTATTACAAGACTTTGTTCGTTTTTCAATACAATATGCAGCAAAGTGCTTAATCCTTGTACACTTGATGCTTTGCAGGCGGATGTGGTTATGACTTTGTGCAAATTTGAGATGTATTTCCCACCCTCATTTTTTTACATAATGGTGCATCTAATTCTTCATTTGGTTCGTGATATTAAGTTGAGCGGTCCAGTGTTAATGAGGTGGTGTTATCCTTTTGAAAGACACATGGATACATTGCAAAATAAAGAAAGGAATCCGGCTCACCCGGAAGGAAGTATGATTCAAGGGACCGTGGGTGAGGATATTGGTAATTTTGTGGCCGACTATATAGCCATTGCTGAACTTATTGGTCTTCCTACTTCTCGACATGAAGGGAGACTTGATGTTCATGGCATAATCGGGTCGAAACGAATGTCACCTAACCGAGATAAGTTCTTACAAGCACACATATATGTGTTACACCATGTTGCAGATGTTCACCCATATTTAGACGAGCACATGGCTAGTTTGCGTGATGAATTTCCATCGAAAGGTGAAATGGCACTGATGCAGTTGCATAATAAGAGGTTTGTGAGTTGGTTTCGTGATCGAGTGATGGGTCGATTGGATGCGAGTGTCACTGATACAGTAAGGTGGCTTGCTTATGGTCCTAGGGATGGTGTTTGCTCATTTGAGGGATATGACATAAATGGGTAAACTTTTTGGACTGAGCGTCAGGATTTGAAATCTTCCTCGACCCAAAACAATGGTGTAACGCTTGTGGCATCGTCAAGGGAGTTTGCAAGTGCTAAGGATAAATCACCCGTTGATGCAAAGTTGTCATACTATGGTCGAATTCAAGAAATATGGGAGCTTGATTATTGTAACTTCACGGTTGCTCTTTTCCAGTGTAAGTGGGTTGATAATATCAAGTGTAACGTCAAATATGATGACTTTAATCTTGTAGATCTGGGCCACCTGAATGATAGTGCGGAACCATTCATCCTTACATCTCAAGCTAAGCAAGTGTTCTACGTAACTGACCCAGTCGATTCAAAATGGTCTATTATGCTAGCCGGCAAAAGAAGAATCCTAGGCATTGGAGATGTTGAGGATGAGGAAGAATATGATGCGTTTGATGATTCAGCACCTTTCATTGTTCTTAGACCTGTTGTACCAAATGACATAGACGACCAAGCAAATTATATGCGATCAGACCACAACGAAGGAATGTTAGATTGAGGTACTATTATTTGTGATTTTGAAATTGTAGGCGTTGAAAGTATTATAAAATCACAAGTTAGGTGATTTACAGAATTATTTGGTGAAAATGAATAAAAGTGTTAACTTACTTACCCATTTTTCACATTTTCTTTTAAATTAATGAAATAACTCTCAAAACATGTTAAATATGATAGGATATAATATTTTAAGTGTTGACAAGTATCATAAAATCACAAGTTAGGTGATTTAGAGAGTCATTTTGGTGATAATGGAAGTGTTAACTTACTTGCCCATTTTTTATATTGATTTGTATTATAATTCATAAATTTATATTTGATTATAACTTTACCTAACAAATTTATTTCTTTTACAACTAATAACGTGTTATGTTTGTAATGGCAGGTGTTTATATCTCATGGAGGACGATGATAACCTTAATTGTGTAGAGGATATGGAGGATGATGATGATGATGTCAATGAGGATGAGGACGATCTTTATGATGTCAACAAGGAGAATGATTTGGGTG